AATCCCGCCCCCTCCCCCCCGGTGGGCAAGGGACCCAGGGCGACACTCCCGGACAGTCATTTAAAAAAAGGCTATTCGGGGGATTAGATGGTGAATACATCGGAGGGGGGGTTGCATCTCCCCGCCCTACTCCGACATATCGTCATCGAGGTTTAATTCCGCAAATCTGACTTTGAGTTTTATTTCTCCTCGTTACGTTCTCCGTAAGGAAGCTTACCGGAAATTAATATTCTTTTTTTTATTCATCTATCCGTGTATTAATGTCATCGTGATATCAAAGTAGAATAAAGAGCAGCTCTCCCAATCGGGCTTGTTATTGCGGTCAAAATTAGCTGCACGGATAAGATTTGCGAGAGGTGGTGGAAGAGGAGCAAAAGTTTTTGGATTTCCCTGGCATGGCCTTTTTTTTTTTTTTGAGTAAGAAAAGGGGAAAACTTGGGTTTTTTTTCCCTCTCTGAAGTGAATTGAATGCCTGAGGTTTGTGCAGGAGAGCTCTTGTTCCTCAGCTGGGAGCTGAGGAGGAAAAAAAAGCGGGGGAAATTCTTATTCCGATGCCGAACCGCCCTCCTCCAGCTCGGCGTGCGGTCTTCAGAGACTCGTTTTGCCCTTTCCCCGCCCCGTTTGCACCTGAAGGCAAACCCTAACAAACCCGAAACGCCTCTGGGGAAGGGGACAGCTCCTTACGCAGGTGGTGGGCGCATCGCAGGTGGAAGGTGTCGCAGCCGTGCACGTGGTGGTAAAGGGTCTTCTCTATCAGGTCCTGGGGCTCGTAGCCCGTGAGCTCGGCCACCCTGAGAGACACAAGCAGCGGACAGCGGTGAGGGCGAGGAGCCCGGCAGAGGCCTGGGGGAGGAGGAGGGAAGGGCCGGGTGGGTTTGAGCACAAGCCCAGCTCTACCTGGAATCTAAGAATATGAGCTTCATATCCAGGCTGGCCCGGAACATGAACATATTGCTGTGGAGCTTGATTTCCGTGACGGCGCTGGGCGGCAGCGAGTGGCCCACGGCGACCAAGCCGACGTTTTGGTAGCAGCCGTCGAAGGGGGACATGTCCAGGCTGTACTGGCGGATCTTCAGGTACCCGCTGCAGTGGATGACCTGCCGGGGGCGCACACGAGAGCTCAGAGCCCCCCCGGCCCGGGGGCGGAGCGGCGCGGGGGCCGGGCCGGGCCGCCTAGATGTGTGTGTCCTGCAAGCAGCCCTCCCGCAAGAAGCCACCGCCCCGGGATGTCTCTCCCCGTCCTTATATATATATACATATATATATACATACACACACACACACACACACATATATATATATGAGAGAGTTAAGCACTGATGTAGTCGTGGGGTTTTTTTTTGTTTGTTTGTTTATTTGTTTTTTTGTTTGTTTGTTTTTCCCACCGACTTAAGTGGTTTCTGGGCCACCTCCTCGCTGCGCTTCCCTTATCCTGCTCGAGAGGAAGGGGGAAGAGCCCAGCCGGCTGCCGCTGCGCAGGGAGCAGTGCGTGCCTGTGAGGGAAAGTTTCCGTGTGCGCGCGTGTCACATGTTGTACAGGCAGGGCAGATGCATGCGCGGAAGGTACCTCTGGACACAGAGCGAGGTGGGGCGCCTAAGTGCACCCTTGCACACGGGTGCTGTGGGTTAGGTATGGCACCTATATGACATAGCACCTCTCTGCTATGCGCCTCCCACCTCACTTCCATTTTCGGTGTTTCTTCCCCGCGCTAGCTCAGCGGGTGTTTTTGCTGCTGTGGTGCATCGTGGCGCAGCATCTCCGAGGGATTCAAGGATATGGGGATACAGGGATGTGGGGATACAGGGATACATAAGCACAGCTCACCGTCGTTGTGCAGCTGGCGGGAGCACCTTGCAGCTTCCCCGGGCACCCCGCGGAGCAAGAACAAAGCAGAAATAACCACAGCAAATCCCGGGGGGCGCGCGGGACGCACCTTGTAGCCGCCGCACGTGAGGCCCGCGTTCCTCTTGGCCAGGACGCACTTCATGCGCAGGAAGAAGGAGCGCTCGATCTCGTACTCTGCGGGCCGGGGGGCAGAGGGGGCGCTGAGCCGGGCGCGCTGCTCCCCGCGGCCGCGCAGGCCGCGCGGGGAGGCGGCCCGGGGACAGGGGGTCTGCGCTCCTCCTTACCCTGCACGAAGTGCGAGTGGTAGGGCTGGTGCGCCGTGAGCACCGCAGTCATCTCGTCGTGGTCGGCGGGGTGGATGTACTCGTAAATGCTGTTGCCGGTCAGCTCTACCTGCAACACCGAGAGGAGGAGGAAGAGGAGGAGCGGGGGGGGTCACCTCGAAGCCCGCCCCGTGTCCCTTGTCACCCCCGACATACCTGCGACAAGCCCAGGTGCACCGAGGCCGTCTCCGAGATGTACATGATCTTGCCGTCCGGAGCCACGACGAATATGAAACCGTCCAAGGTCTGCAGGAAAAGCGCGGAGAGGACGGGGGAAAAGTTTTCTTGCGAGTATCCACGAACTACCTTTCTTTTCGGGGCTTTATTTTAGCGGCGGTGCGGGCTGTGGGTAATCAAAAAGTTGGCAGGAAAACGGGCAAGTCCTAAAAGGAAACCCTCCAAAACGCTTAGGCTTTCCTCACTCCTCAGAGACCCAGCTCCAAAGGTCCCTGCGATGCCAAGTGCCTGGGAAGCGCCTGAGGGCAGCATCTCCAGCGCTCCTGCACCCTCTGCGACGAAATACGTCCGTACGAGAAATCCCGAGCACTCCTGCCCTGTTCCACATGCCAGCAGGGCTTTTAACGCCCGAATATTTGCTAAGGAGACTTTACACGAGCAAAGGCGATCTAAACCTCTCTGCAATGTAAATAAAGGTCTGGAAGGGACGAGACTGTTTATCAGGCATGGTTCGGGAGATACTAATGGCGTGAGGGAAAAATAGGCCCCAATCTATTAAAGGCGGATATTAAAGGCCACACTAGCCCACGTAGAAATACGTGATTGCGATAAACGCTAGCATCCCTTGATCTTTCAGACAGCAGCGAGTTCTCTCGTCTCCTGTTTGATTTTTTTTTTAAGTTTATGCTCCTCTGCGCGGCGATCCAACACCCTTCTCCAACCTGCCCCACAGAGCATCTCGCCCTCTGCCCCCTTGCTGCGACGTGTCATCCTGGTTAGGAGTTTGGGGAAAAGCAGCCGCCTCTTCCCTAGAGGCAGCAGGAGCACCGGGATAAACCGCTCGCTCCAGAGTCAGCAGTGGCAGAAAGGATGCAAAGGATTAAGGGGGACCAAACCATGATCATGATAAAGCCCTCGTCATTCTGACACGATGCTTCGTATTTGTGGAGTGCATGTGCCCCCTCACCTCCTTTTTTTTTTTTTTAATTTCTTTTTTTTGACTAAACACATGACCAGTTAAAAATTAGTGCAGGTGGCAATTAAAAGCGCAGAAGAGGGAATGATTTCCTTAATCATTAATACCGAATAGCTGCCGTTTCCAGACCAGTACCTGCAAAAGATGCGATCCCAGTTCCCGTCCAACGTTATCCAACGGGCTGGTTCGACTGGAATGGCCCCAGGCTTCTCCAAGTCCTGTTTAGTTAAGACACGTAAAAAACAGCGTGAGGAGACGAGAAAGAGCTTCCTTCTCAATTTTCCACATGTGTTCGCTTTATATATATATATATATATGTATGTATGTATGTATATGTATATGTGTATACACATAGGGCGTTTCCTCCCGCCTTGTCCCGCACAAGTGTCGGGCAGAGAGGGAGTTTCTGCCTCCAAGGAGCCCGCCCGCCCTCAAGAAAACGGAGTCTCCCCGGACTTGCCTAATGTTTCAGAGGCCGCTTATTTTCTCGCATGCGGCGTTGGGGGGGATAAAAGCCAGACGGAAATTGCTCTGCCGAGGCAGAGCTATTTGTGGGCGATGCCTTTTAACAGCGATGTCGCTGAGATAATTCAAGCAGGGCGGTTAGAGCCTTTTTATGCTCGCGCCGTTAACGAGGCGTAACCCGCCACGCACGGACATCAGGATTAAGTAAAAGGGCGGGAATAAAAATCCCGGAGCGCAAAGCGGTGCCGGCCACGTCGTTCCCCCTGCGACTCTTCAGCGGGGGCCCGGCGGAGGCAGGACCCGTTTTCCCGGGAATCTGGGGGCAAACGGGCGAGGGCAGAGTCTTCCTGTTAATTTCTGCCTGCTAGCTAACGGTCCCCTGGGGATTTTTATCCCCTTTCCTCAGGCTTCGCCTTGCCCCACCTCCCCACCATGGCCCATCGGGGAGTGCTCGGAGCCTGCGGCGGCCTCGACCCCCTCCCCCCGGGATCGACAAAACGGGGGGCAAATCTCCCACAGCTCCCCGGGAAAGAGAGGGAAAAGCAGCCCCGTGAACTGGTTTTTGGCTTAAGCATCGCGGGGGCTTCTCCGCGGGGGGCCAGGGCGGCCAAGGGCCGATATTTTGGCGCCCCCCACCTGGAGGGACCGCGCAGCGACAGATCTGAGCGTCGAGGGCTGCTCATTGGGGTTGCTGATTAATCTAAGTTTACGGGTCTAATTATTCGTCTTCCAAAAGCGAAAATAACCCGAGCCACGCGGGTTAATGAATAGCTCGCCGACATTACAGGTTAACTTCTTGCAGGAGCGCGGGTTTTCACGGAGCACTGAGCTCTCCTTTATGCTGCAGGTGGAAACGCCGTGCTGCTCGGCCTGGTTGTTAATGTTTTATAATTAAGCGTTTTTTCTTGTCTACCTGAGCCGGCTTTTCGGAATCCTCTCGCATGAGACAATTCCTTGTTTTTTTTGTTTTTTTTTTTTTCACATGTGTTGCCTTGCTTTCAAGTCGGACAGTTTTTTTTATTCGTTGCCAAGCCCAGCCTTTCTCAAGTCTACGGATTCTCCCGATGCCCTTCTTTGCATATTTTGTAATTGATATAAGTTCTCCATTAATATTCCCTTTTATTACTTTTCCTTGTTCTTTCGCTTTAACATTCAATTTCCTTTTACCGAGGGGGCCAAACCGTGATTTCTTGCACTTGACCTACCGCAGAAAATTCCGCAAATCCTTTGATTGTCTATTTAAAACAAAACAAGGAAATCAGCTCTCCCTTTTGCTTCAGGATTACGCTGGAAACAAGATCTAAGGATTCCCTTGCAATTTGGCAAGCGAACAGAATAATAGGTTTGGAATAGGAGCAAGCAGCTTTGTGAGAGGAAGGATAACTAAATCGTTTTTAGGCAAAGGATTTTCCCAGCTGAAGTGGCCGGCGACAAAAGCAAAACAGCCTCTATTTTGGAAGATTTCCAAGAAATGCCATGTTAACCTTCGCAGATAAAATTTGCTTTCCTCGCTGAGTCCCCTCCCCCAGCAAAGTCTGGTTTATCATATTTACATAAGTAGCCTTAGCAGGGATATATCTATTAGGGATCTAAGGAGCTGGGGAGCTCACGTTTCAGTCGGAAATAGAGGCGAACTTTTCCTGTTGCCTAAGACTCGGCGCGTTGCGGAACCATTTCCATTTAAATACCCCCGGCCCCCGGATTACCTCAATGGACTGGCTGCGTGGGCTTTGTAATTTCCCGAAAATGAGATTTCGATTTATAAAACAAGAAACCAATTAGTAACCAAATGAGGCGAAGTAGATCCACTAAAATTGACCTAATCCCACAGGCATCATTTAGGCCAGTTCTTGGCGAATGAGTGATGAGCCACCGTGCAGCGTAAGCTCAGGGCATCATCCAGCTGTGTTATTGCGAGCAGCAGAAATAAATGGCTCGAGCTTTTCTTTCGGAGTGAATCTTATACTCTTGACAAAAGAAAGATTATAGGCTCCTATGTAACAATCTCCTCCACTCGAGATTTTTTTTCCTAAAAAGATAAACAATTTGGGCCATAAGAAAGTGTCCACAGCCAGGAGAGAAGAAAAAAAAAAAAAAGGAAAGAAAAGGGCTAAAAGGGGCATTTTAGGGGGGTTCTGGTTCAGTTGCAAGCAGAAATCTTGGCTCTTGCAGAAGCGCGCGCTGAGCGGCACGCATCCTGCTCCTGCTGACTCAGCTCTTCTTCCGACAACTCCCCAATGGAAAAATCCCGGCGCTTCCCGGAGTTTGGAAGGGCTGAAGCCCGCGGCGAGCGGCTCGGTGGCCATCGCGGGCTCTTTACGCCGGCGAGCCCCCGCGAAACGGCTGGTTTTCGGCCGCACCGAGCCCAAGCTCCGGGCCGCTGCCCTCCCGGGGCTCTGGTGCGAGCCCGGGACCAGTAGCCAACGGAGGCAGCGGCGGGACGACCCGTCCCGGCGCCTGCCCCGAGGAGGGCAGGAAGGGGCGCCTGGATCGCGTCTAAATTTGCCCTCGGCCAAGGGGGAGGAGGGCGCAGGAAAACGGGGCTCCGAGAGCTCCTTGGCCCCGGGTTTCCCGGCGTTAGTTGCCCCCTCCAGAGGCCTCGCGGCCCCTTTGCAGGGGTGGCCCCCGGGACGCCGCCC